AGGAAGACTGAAAACCTTTCCTGAGGAGAAACGGAAGATGAAGTCTCACTACTGTCTATTGCTCTCCTCTTCTATCGTTCTGTTACAGTTTCTTTATAGAGGCTGGCTTAACACCTTCACAGTTGCAAACCACGGTGACTTCATTTTACATTCCTATATTTTAGTTAAACAAACATCTCATTGATTTTTTAAGGGAGGCTTCTTCTTACTTTTCTTTGTTGTTTGTTGAGTGTCAAGTTTCGGCGGCAGAAGCGTTGGTCCACTGGTCATTGCGTTCGACTTCAGATTGTAAGGTCCAACCCTAACGCAATGTTAAAATGTTCCTTGCGATATAAAAAAATATTAATAAACTCAAAGAATAGCTTCCTTTGACTACTAAAGTTAAAAACTTAAGGATATTCGTATCTGAGGAAATAAAGGAGCTCTCTTCAACATCCTGAAAAAGCCCCTTTGGAGAACGTTCCTCAACACATGATCACTCGCATGGTGTAAATCTACAGCAAGAAAAATTCTAAGGTACGGTGGACTTGGAACTCAAAGAAAACAACATCAGCCTAACCTAAATCGGCACGGTTTGGCGGGTTTGGTTGCCGCACTGAAAGCGCGCAAGTTTTAAAAATGCTGAAGCCGATTTAGATTTGTGAGGAAAATTAACTTGCGAAACATAATATAAGCAGTGGAGGCAAGATATCTCCTGTTTATCCCTTCCATTAAGTATTGCGTGTCACTAAGAAGTTTTTAATCAATGTGTCACGTTTACGGATACGAACTCTAATCTTTTATTTATGTAACTCTTCCCTTTTTAGCACAAAAACACTAAAAAACTTTAAATGACTGTCTATTAAATTTGTTAGCGCGCTTTTTTTGATTTCTCTTCCACGACTAGCGAATATCCGCTCGAGGCTAGCTACACAAAGCATTGCTCATTTCTATTTCCCTTACGTCAAAGTGTAGGAACTAAATTCGCCTTCTATTAGTACGTAGTTCAGTTGCGAGGAGTCTTTGCAGCGAGAATGAATGGAAGGGAAAATTTCCCATTAGTTTAAATCTAGCAGCTGTCATTAAATTCGTCTCCGACGACTGCGTGTCATAGGTTTGGTGTTAAAACAAACCCCAGTCCTGCAGGAATTTATGCCAAACACTTAGACAAGGTATTCTGGATGAGCTTTTTGCTTTATTATCAATTATAAAGAGAAGTTTTGTTTGTGAGTACATCTATAAATTACACTCAAGTGCAACCCATATTTGGTATCGGGAATTATAAACTGTCAAGCGTTCTAATACATACCCACGAGTTGAGGTATCCTGAAACTTGAGAAGTTATTTGAGGTCATTGCCTCTTCGAGGGTAATACTAGAAACTTAGTGAAAAGCTAGTCATGAAGATGATTGTAATAAAAAGAAAATGTCCTCTAGAATATTGTTACTTACTAATTGAAAGGGTAACGAAGCATGATCTGGATCATCGTGAGTAGCCCAAAACAGGATGCAACAAAACTAAGAGATTGTGGTAGTAAGTATGAGCAAGAATTCGTCTAATTTGGATTTGAATCCCTTTCGAATCCTCGCACTGTTTTGGCTGAGAGACCTTTTAATGGCTTTTATTCAGGTTTTTAATTACAAAGGGAATTGAACTCGAAAAATCTCTAAACAATTTATAGAGAAAGAAATAAATAAGGAGACAGATACATGGAAATAACGGAAGATATATATTTCAACGTACTTTATAAAGGTATACTAGATTCGATACGATGCCAAGCGATTTGAAAATAATTAGCCGCAATGAGACAATTATTCGGTTTTGAATACGAATTGGTCTTTGTTGTGTCTTGACTTAATAACATCTTTCATTATTGATACCATAAAAGGTTCTTTAAGCACAACCGCTTAGTTACCAGCCAGGTGAGTTTGTCGAGGTTACTATGACAACATGTCAACTGGGAATTGCAAATATTGTTTCCTCCGCGCAAAACAAAATTCCTCGTTCGATAACGCTTCAGCCGTTTCACTGCATTAAGCTACTATTTCCATGACTTTAATTCGACTGATTTAAAATAACGTTATAAAACACTTTCTAGACGTATAGCTCCTTCCTGTGGCAATGAAATAGTGCCACTCCTGCTAAGAACGCTACTCGACTCTTGCCGAAAAAAGCCTTCCTCTTTTTCCTCAGGAAAAGGGATTGGGACACAAACTGAAAAAACAATTTTATATTCTCGAATTTTCTGTATTGTATCACCGAAGCCAAAAAGTAGTTCATGGATAAAACCGCCTGAAAGTTCTGTCACCCTTTTAAATATTCGTCGCGCTTTGGGTTGAGACTTGTCGCACTTTGTAATGAAAAGAAGCTGTTGCGTTTGACGTTTAATCTCGTTGAAATGCAAATCGAGTTATCTAACAAAAACGGAGAAAATGTTTTCGGACTTGGGGAGTTATATGGGAGTATTTTAAGCATACTTGCATAAACATTTTACCGAGTCGATCCATCCGGTGAAGTTAATGATAAGTCAGTTTCAACGACTAGCTTCATCTTTGTGATCGAAAGATGGTAATTATTTCCATTCGTGCAGATGAACAGACGGGAAACTCGCATTAACTACCGGTGAGCAAGATACTTCTTGCGAGTCTTAACGGTTTGATGGCTTTTGCTACTAACTGTTGAAGCTTGGCTATTTTATATGCAGCATACGTTTGACTGATTTCTTTCCGTCCCGTTAAAAAGAAAAATCTTTAAGTGAAACATTATTATTCGACTTATGGCCAAAATAAGTCAATTTTTTACGCCTGACGGCTAATTTGTTTTTGCTATTTCACAGCCAATGGCGGGCTAACCCTATTGAGACCCTGCTAATTCCTTAGGCAAATAGTGTTTTAAGCGAGGTTCAGGAATTAGTTTTTAAGAAAAAATGAAAGCTTATTTATTGACTCATAATAATCTGCAGTGTTATAACAAACTTTTTTCATATCGTGTTTTTTTCCAGTCGTTATTGCGTAAAACAGCATTCTGCACCTGGTGAAAACAGTCTCATTGTTCTTTTATGACGGGAAAATACAGTTAAAATACACTTACTTCAGAAAAAAGAGATTGAGTGTTATGTCCACTAACTTGTACCTCCTGCAAAGGACTTTGAAATTCGTTGAAGAAATTGCCATATAAGCGTAGTGACCAAGTCAATAACCGTCGGTAACTTACGTTTATCCTAAGCCTGATGAATTGCGTGATGAGTGAGAATGAATTTGGTAAAATGTTCACAGCCATGTCTGTACGTTGCGTGCTGAGTAAGTACGAATTTTGCTTTGTATCTTGGTCAGGTTTTAGAGGCAAATAGTGAATGATGAGGTAAAGATATCTTGGTATTAGAATATCCTACAACCAGGCCTTCGCCAAAGTAAACCAGAAAAAGCGATAATTAAACGGGCCCTTTCTAACTTATTGATAAAACAAGGAGAGAAACTCCTCCTCTTAAAGTCTTATCATTGAAAAGTGAATGAATGGTTAAATGAATAAATGAAGAAAACTAAAGGAGGAAAAGTGTGTTACCTTTTTCCAATTTCTATAGGATGCAAAATTGGTTGGGAAAAATTAACCATAGTGACGCAATTTTTGGGTTTGAAATTGTTATTCATGATGAAAAGATCCCGTCGACTACGGCCAACAGAAGGCAAGACAGAAGGCACTTTATGAAATCGGTTTGTAGATTTTTTGCGAAGTGTTTTCTGAACTAACACCACCTCCTTTGTCACGAAGCCGAGAGAATATTCCTGTTTTCCACCCAAGACAATTTAATGGTCTGCGACCTAACTTTACACATAAAATTCTGAAAACCACACTAATTATTACGATCTCGAACCTTATTTATGGTAGTCTTTTACGTCATACCTATTTCTAAAACACTGTTTTTAGCAGAAAGAACATTCTAGACGCTCATGATGACAGATCCTTAAAATAACTCAGCAGAATATGTTCCGGTATAAGGAGAAGTTTCTAGCACAGCTTATTATATAAGTGATGCCGTAGTTCAATGTTCTAAATTGTTCTGTCAATTTCGGCAAACTTCCTTCCATCCTTCCTGAAAAAAAAAATCCCAACCCAGATAGGGAAATAATTTCGAGTTTTCATTGTTCTCCATCGTTCCCAGGAGTCATATGGACTCAAATATCTCAGTTAACTTCTCTGAAATAGAGTTTCAACAACTACCACAGCGACTGGTCAAACTGGTAACCTTTTCATCCGCAATTAGTTCAAAATTTACATTACCACATTAAAAGGAATATTGCTACATTTACAAGATAGTAAATGTATCTCTTGATATTCTCTCTTCTAGTTATCCTGATAGTAAACTTGAAAGTAGCAGGTAAGACTGCGAAACTCCTAAGTTAGTTGATTTGAGACATTTCCCATTAGACTTGATAGAAAACTAAAACAAAGAAGCAACAAGATCGGACACCCGAGAAATGGCTCAACAATCTTACGTATGGATGCAATTGATCTGATATAGGTGGGTTGGCTAAAAAGCAAGAAAGATAATGGGAAAACAGTGATCTTTCAGATACACAAGCTACCGTATATAAGTTAAAATCACCAAAATGAAAACAAACAAACAAACAAATCCAAAGCAAACCAAGACAAAAATAAACAAACAAAAACAGAAAAAATCGACGACAACGAAAACAAAGAAAGTTTTAGGTTTCATATTATGCGCAAAAGCCGTTTCCCATCATCCTACCAACAGTAGAACCTAGAAATGTATATACAAGTTTTTGAGAACTTTCGTTCGTTGCATATCTATCTGACTTGTTTTCATTCGCAATACGTCGACAAATTTGTTCTTATTTTAATTTTCATTTCTCATAGAATGCCACAGTGTCTGTTCTAAAGATTCTTGCTACGAGTTTAAGAAAGAGAAAAAACCATGGAAAGATGCCAGAAACGCTTGTAAAGAAAAGAGAGGCGACCTAGTTTCCATTGAAACTGAAGAGGAGTGGGATTTTATGAAAGGCATGATTCAAAATCAGACTGCAAAGGTGTGGTTTATTGGCTTGGAAAAAAGGGCTGGTAGTTGGACCTGGGTGAGTGGAAGACCACTAACCATTTGTAACTGGAAAAAAAATAAGTCAGCTGGAAATGGAAGAGTGGCTAAATTAGAAAAAGAGAACTGGACCTTTGTTCGTGGTGGAGGAAAAAAAAATAGATCTTTTATTTGTGAAACTGCAAAAGGTAAGACAACAAACAGAGACTAATAGAGCTTCTGACGATCAAAATCCAGCTTTCTGTCGATTTCTGCTTCGGAATGAAATAGTATTGAGTAGGTGAGATACTGACTACAGCATGCATTGCTCAGCAAATACGAAAAGCAACCATTAACTCTAGCAGAATACTTTATTTATGGCAAAATGTTGCTGCTTTACACCTATGTATTTTTTTTTCTTGTTCTTAATAACTTCTCTGTGTCTCATTTACAATATTATGCGCGTTGTTCAGGTATTGGAGAGAATACTTCACAAGGTTACTGCTACAAGCATGTCGCAATACCTTGCAAATTGGAATATGATAGAAAGAACTGGACACAGACTTGTACATTTTCTGCATATTATTGCAATATGAGCTGCACTGTTAGTGCTTGTGAGCCCTCGTCTGTTCATTGGTCTTCAGAGGAATTTTGTGGACAAAAATGTGCTAAGACTTTCAGTCCATTGGTACAACAATGCACTGACGACAAACACGTGAATAGTACCTATAACCAGACGTGCAATGCTACAAAGTGTAATTTAACAGAGGGTGAACAGAACTTTAGTACAAAAAAGACTTGCTATTGTGAAGATGATGAATGTTCTAAGACTTGCAGTGATATAAAGTGTACGCAAACTTGCAGAGGAAGAGAAAACGGTAATTAGAACTACAAATGCAATGATGTTATTGATCAATGACAGGTTTAAAGTGTTTACTGACCAATTTGAAATAGATTTTAGAGGTGTTTATTATCTGTCAGATTGCATTATTGCTACTGGTTATTCCTCGGCAAGGGCATGAGGAGTGGTGTTTCCTTTTGGAGCGAATGGCTCGTACAAGAAATGGGTTCTTTTTAAATCTTGGAAGGTTATCCTTATTCACGTCGGGGATCACTTTTTTTTTATACCCGTGCAGGTTTGGAACATGCGAAGGTTTTTTCAATAGTAGCAGGTTAATAGAAAGTCAACCAATCATTAAATTATTCAATAAAACAAGCAGGCGGGCAGTTTAATTCCTAATTTTCCCTATAGATGAGGAATTATCGGTAAAACGCATGAAAACAAATGAAAATAAAATGAATATGCCACAAGAGAATATGGGTACAGGAAATTATGATTAGTTTGACTTTTCTTGATGACATATTCTAAATTTATCACTTTTACGGGTGGCATTATCATACTCACCGTCATCAGCTACAGTCCCTACGTTATCAGTATCAACAGGGACCCAGCCGTTGTCATCACTGCCACTAATCTCAGCAACACCTAACACGCCGTCGCGGTCGCCGTCGCCGTCGTCGTCGTCGTCGCAGTCAATACCAACAGCAACACCATCAATGACATCAAGAACAATTTCAAAGTTGGTGCGTGTTCTAGTGAATCATAGTCCTTGCACATGTCATCTTTCTAGATGTTCTATGACGCTTCATAAAGATGATTGCCAACTTATTTATCCTAGGCAAAGGAATATCGTTCCAAACTTGAAAGAATAAATCTCAACGAAAAGGCTTCATTGCAGGTATCTGAGTTTCATATATTAACTTATTTATCATTATGCAAAATTCGTGTGACAATCAGTCGCAACTAAACTTTCGAAGGGGAAGGTTAACAGCCTCACGAGATTTTACATGAAATCAATCCAAGATATTATCATAAAAAATTAAAAGCAATGGAAGGTAAATAATGCAAGACTAATGTCATTCTTCTTCATTAACTTTATCTGGTGCACGCTCCAGATATCAGCTGGGCTGTCGTAAGAATTTCGTACCTTTTGTTAATATTTTTTTTAATTTTCTGTTTCTCAAATGAGGCCGTAGTATGTATTTTGAGTTCTAGAAGTCATAATACAAGAAAACGAAATAATAGGGAATAATAAGGCCTTTTACTCAACTCTTCTTTCATAGTGCGCGCAGACGTTTTGCTTAATGTTCGTATCATACTTCCTATACTACGCTGGACGCGCAGGTAGACGTGTGCGAAGCTGGTCTAGACAGATAAATTTCTTTCCCGTATCTAGCTGTCGCACTTAACTTTCACTCGCCAGCTACGCACGCTCAGATCATTAATTTGACTGAAGCTCGTTACAACTGCTTACAAATTCCCAAATGAATTTATGTAATTACAGAAGGCTATGAGAATCTTTGAACACTTCGGTACCAGCATCGAAAGCATCACAGAACTTCCCGACGGCCAGTCTGATGTGGACGAAGTAGGAGAAAGGAGAGAATCTATATTTAAGGTGGTAGTCATCCTCGAAGAGATTGCCCTTAATTATGGCAAGCATCACCTGATCGGAACAAAGCAATCAAAAAGGATCGATAGCCAGAAAATGGGTAAGTTAGAACACAGGTGCCTATCAAAATTTATGATTATCCATTTCTAAGTTATAATGTTAATAATAATGATAATAATAATGATAATAATAATAATAGTAATAATAATAATAATTACATTGATACAGCGCAGACCTCTATATATGGATATGAATATGGATATATGGAAATATTCAATTGCGCTTCACAGTATTGTCAAAGTAAAATTATGTTAAAAGTAACTAAAAACATACGAAACTATTAGATATTACAAACCCATATACAATCAAAGGCAGCAATAGCCTGGTCATTAAACTAGTTCAAAGATAAGACATGAATTTAATCTATTTGAAGGCAAAATTACAAAAAAAAAAAGAAATTAGTTTCAACAGCAGTCTTGAAAGTGTCCGGTGTCTTTATGTTGCGAATTCTCGAAGGTAATGCATTCCAAAGATAAGGTGCAGCTGACTGGAATGTACGATCGCCAAGGGTTGGACGGGTCTTAGTACTAGGTACTCGAGTAACAAAGACTCGTTTGATCCAAGAGAGTACCTGGACTGCTTTTTGATACTGATTAATTTAATTAAATAAGAAGGAGCTAGACAATCTACACGCTTAATCGGGGACCAATGAAGGTGAAAAAGCAATTGTGTAACATTACAGAATCTTAGTGTTTCCGTGACTAGCCTAGCTGCAACATTCTGTATCCGTTGGAGTTTCATGAATAGTGAGTTCGGGAGGCCACATGGTAGGCTGGTACAATAGTCTACTCTACTGGTTATAAGAGCATGAACTAATGATTTGGTGACTGGACGACTTAAATATTTCCTAATGCAAGGCATATTATAAAGATAATAGAAATCGGACGAGCAAGTTCTGTTAATATGACTTAGCATACTCATTTCCGACTGAAACCAGGTCCTTAAGTTTCGAACTTTACATAATGGAACAATTTGGTGGTCGCCAACCGATAAGTTACTGATGTTACTAACTTTCTGAAGTTGTTGTTGCGTTTCAGTCAGAAGGCATTCGGTCCTTTAGAATTCAATTTTAACCTATCCGTGTGCATCCACTGACTGATATCAGCAATACATGATTCCATGGCAGTTAAGGCGGCGGTTTGCAAGTC